CTCTCTCTCTCTCTCTCTCTCTCTCTCTCTCTCTGTGTCTCTCTCTCTCCCTCGCCCTGCTGCCCCCATTGTCCCTTTTCGTTTTATTTTTTTCAACATTCGATTTATTTGTATTCTGGGGAAACTCTGCGGGAGTCAGAAAAACGAGTTATAATTGCAGTATGGGCCAAGATACAGTTTGCAATTGCAGTTGGGGCAATGTATACAAACCAGCTTTCTGGCCAGGTAGGGTGCCCGAAGTGCAATTGCAAATTGTATCTTGCCCCATACTGCAATTATAACTCGTTTTTGTGAATCTACTGAAGTTACCCCTTTTATTTTTCATTACCGGTCGTTGGTTCCCCGACCCCCGTCCGATGCAGCGCGTTAAAGGCCGCGTGGTGGTATTAACATGCTATTGCAACCGGATATGAGGAATGCACTTCTAAGTATGAGGAATGCAGTTCTAGGTATCACAGGCAGTGTCTAATCATCTGGCCCCCTGGCCAAGGTCTAACATATGCAACGTCAGGGCCACCACAACTTCTGGCCCTAGCCTGCCAAATCCAGAAGGCTGACCGTCCCCCACTTGAGAAGACCTTTAACAAGCTTACTGTCTGGAACATGACACATGCTGCCCGAATGGCTGCGTCCCCGCGTGGAACGCGATATAACAGTTATCATAGCGTTTGGGATGTTTGTTTTTCACAGGTCGAGAACAAAAGTGTGGCGAAGCACTCGTGGGCTGTTCACCGGTCTGCGGCCGTCCTGGCTGTGGCCCCACGCCCGAGCGTGGTATCAGTGAAAATTGAGAACATGGAAAAGTGGTGAGTCACACGAATCTTCCTGTAGAACGTGGAAAAGATACACTGCCATATTTTTTCTCCTCTGTGCATGCATGTGGTGACTAGTGGAGATACGCCCAAAAGGTGCACGAACAGGTAGTACTGTTAGGCCTACTCGTTTCAAACACTGCCTAAACAGCGATAAACAGAGGTCCCCACTCCCCACTGCATCGCTCGGCCAATCAACGTCAAGTAGTCAGGGAGCTGAGGAAGGAAAGAGGAAACAGCAACGTAGTCAGGGAGCTGAGGAAGGAAAGAGGAACCAGCAACGATGGGGCGATGAAGCAACATGGGAAAAGTCTTTTTTTTTTTTTTTTTTTTTTAAATTACCAGTACCTGGCCCAGCTATCGAGTCTGAGCCTCGGCCTAACGCCGACCCGTGCCGAGGCTCGGACTACTGGGGGCAGGTATCCGAACGTTCGAGTGAAAGGAACGGAAAAAACGGAAACAAAAAACGGAAAAAAAAAACTAAAAAACGAATGGGTCAGAGAGAGAGAGAGAGAGAGAGAGAGAGAGAGAGAGAGAGAGAGGCGGCGACCTTGCCGCCCCTCTCTCTCTCTCTCTCTCTCTCTCTCTCTCTCTCTCTCTCTCTCTCTCACGCACACACACACACACACACACACACACACACACACACACACTCACACAAAAACAAGTATGGCACTGTATATTCCCACGCTATAGCGCCAGATTCATTCGATTTTGCTCATCCTATGGAGGGTGCAGTACCATGAGGCCAGCCGCGAAAAAAGAGAGAGAGAGAGAGAGAGAGAGAGAGAGAGAGAGAGAGAGAGAGATGGCGACCTACACGGAGGGTCGCGGCAAACTGGCCGCCCCACACACACACACACACACACACTCACACAAAAACAAGTATGTCAGTGTATATTCCCACGCTATAGCGCCAGATACATTCTATTTTGCTCATCCTATCCAGGGCACAGTACCATGAGGCCAGCCGCGAGAGAGAGAGAGAGAGAGAGAGAGAGAGAGAGAGAGAGAGAGAGAGAGAGAGGGGTGGTAGGTTCCCTCTCTCTCTCTCTCTCTCTCTCTCTCTCTCACACGCACACACACCCACACACACACACACACACTCACACAAAAACAAGTATGGCAGTGTATATTCCCACGCTATAGTGCCAGATTCATTCGATTTTGCTCATCCTATTGAGCGCACAGTACCATGAGGCCAGCCGCGACGAGAGAGAGAGAGAGAGAGAGAGAGAGAGAGAGAGAGAGAGAGAGAGAGAGAGAGAGAGAGAGAGAGAGAGNGAGAGAGAGAGAGAGAGAGAGAGAGAGAGAGAGAGAGAGAGAGAGAGAGAGAGAGAGAGAGAGAGAGAGAGAGAGAAGGGGGCAGAGAGAGAAGGGCGGCAACCTGCATGGAGGGTTGAGGCGAACTCGCCGCCCCCCTCTCTCTCTCTCTCTCTCTGTGGCTCTCTCGTTTTGAGAAACGAAACGGGAATGGCATTCCTGTTTTGTTTTTTGAAACGACTCTCTCTCTCTCTCTCTCTCCCTCCCCGGCGCGACTTCAACTTTTTTGTTTTTTTTTCCCCTTCTTTCTTTTTTTTTGTTTTCTCTAGTGTGTCGTTCCTAGGGAAGCCGAGCCCAGCCTTCGCGCAGCGACCGGGCGTTCCCTTGGCCGACCCCCCTAGGGCTGCGGCGCGTTTACGGGAGTGCCCGCGGCCGATAGCTGAGCAAGGTACTGGTGGCACGCCCCTGCCAGTGTTAGGGTCTCGCTCCACTACTGTCCACTGTACAAAAACGGACAGTCGTACTTCACTCCACTTACTGTCCACTGTACGTGTGCAAAATGGCTTGGACAGTTTTTAGAAACCCCGTCGAAAATCTACTGTCCGTGAATGTACAGCTCCCAGCCTGCAAAATTCGTTACGCAGAAAGTCCTTCAAGGGACTCGCCGTGAGGACCCGAATTTGGAGAGTGCACCTGGAGTTTGGGCAGACAAGACCCTATGGACGTTCTGTATTGTAGTGCTATCACTGTGTCTGGTAGTGAAGCCACGAATTTGAGAGGTGGACAGCGGACAGTAAGTGGAGCGATGTCGCATTTTCCACTGTCCGCTGTACAATTTTTCGCTCTGACAACTGTCCACCAACTGTCCGAAAAATGTACAGTGGACAGTAGTGGAGCGAGACCCTTAGTGGTGCTGATAAGAGCAGACACCACTACGGTAGCACCTGGGTAGAGGCTCGGCTAGTGGTGTCTGCTCTTATCAGCACCACTAAAAAGTCATAAAACCTCCAAGCCACGAAACCTTTGTACCCATTTTCCCCAAAATGGGGAAAAAAGTGCCCCAGGTCCCGAAATCAGTTTTGGTGTCATTTTTGCACCCTGGCTGGGCCGGGGCTAGGTCCCACTTGCACGAAGTATGCGAAGTTGACCGTAGACAGCAAAGATCAATGGCCGAATCTCCTAACTTGCGCAAGTGGGACCTTACCCCCCGTAACGACCTGTGCAAGTGGGACCTTGCCCCCGGTAACAACCGCCGTGTAAAAATGGTGGGAAAGTGTTTTGCAGTGTGCAACAAAAATGACGCCTAAAGTGATTTTGGGGTCTCTGGCACCTTTTTCCCCGTTTGGGGGTCCACTGTACAATTTTTCGGACAGTTGGTGGACAGTTGTTAGAGCGAAATATTGTACAGCGGATACTGGAAAATGCGACATGGCTCCACTTAGGGCCTCGCCACACGTATCCCGTAAACACCGATTTGGAGAGCAAATGCATAGCCACACCAACTCTCCAAAATAGGTGTCAGAAAAAAATTTGAGAGTGGCCAGCACTAGGTTTTCAGGAGTGCTCGCGAACTGTGGTCTTTGCCCCGCCTGCAAAGTTGCCACTTTCGATAGTGGTCCGTGACACCTCCGATTGCGGCCTGAATTTCGAGAGTGTGCCGCGACGGACAACCATCTGCGGCCAGCGGTTTGTCGAGTTGGTTCGAGAGACTCTCGAACCGAGGCCTCTGTCCACTATTCACCACATGCACAAAAGACAAAAAATATGGCGGTGTATCTTTCCATGGTCTAGGAGAAATTCATTCTCATTTTGCACATTCGGTGAGTAGCAGAACAAGGCCCTTGCACCGCCACACTGCACTCTCGAAAAACGCAGGTCTTTTCCGACACAGTGGAGAGCACCCCCTTCGAGAGCGCAGTGCAGCGGTGAGGCCTCTCGAACCGGTTTTCGCAATTTCCAGAGTTCGAGAGTGCTCTCGAACATTTTCCCGTCTTCGGGATAGGTGTGGCGAGGCCCTTACTGTCCGCTGTCCACCTTTTAAATTCGTGGCTTCACTACGAGACACAGTGATAGCACTACAAGACAGGACTTCCATAGGGTTTTGTCCGCCCAAACTCCAGGTGCACTCTCCAAATTCGGGTCCTCAGGCTGAGTCCCTTGAAGGACTTTCCGCGTAACGAATTTTGCAGGCTGGGAGCTGTACATTCACGAACAGTTGTTTTTCGACGGGGTTTCTAAAAACTGTCCAAGCCATTTTGCACATGCACAGTGGACAGTAAGGGCCTTGCAGCACCACTGTCGAAAATGCAATTTTGGACAGTTTCTCTTCGCCACACAGGCTGTCGAAGACGGACACGGGAAAAAAATTCTCCAGTTGTCAGAGCATGCTTCTCGACAGCTCCTGTCGAAAGTTGTTGAATCCCCAGCCTGCTACTCCCATGCTTTCTACACTCCTCGGCTGCGCCGTCGACTTCTCTTCGAAATTCGGTGAGGGGGGGTAAGGTCGGGATGGACTAATGCTTGTCTTACCCTCTGGCACGTTCGTCTTTTTCCATCTTGCACTCACAGGTGCGTGCACTCTACAGTGCTGTGTGGCTAAACGGGGGCAAACTGTCGAATGGAGGCTGTCGAATTTGTTCTGACAGCCGTCGAGTTTTTTCGCCTTCGACTGTGGTGCGGCGAGGCCCTAAGCGGAGCCAAGTACGACTGTCCGTTTTTGTACAGTGGACAGTAGTGGAGCTAGACCCAAAGGTTTGGTCGCGGGGAGGTTTTATGACTTTTCCCAAGCAACATTGTCAAGCACTCGATTTGAACTCGACGTCGTTTCTTCTTCAAGAAATGTAAGGGCCTCGCTCCACCACATAACATTCCCGACCGGATACGTTCATAACGTTGGAATCGCCTGAATGAACCTGGTCGCTAAGGCGTCGACGTGCATGTACGGCGCTGTGTAGTGGAGCGAGGCCCACTACTCCCCAAATGCGGGCCTCACCACGGAAGGTGGCTAGAAACATCGGACACTATTAATGGAATCTAAGGTATCTGGCCACCGTCTAGGGAAGATGCAGTCACCCCCTGCGTCGTTTCGACATTAATGTGGCGATGCCCTGCGTCTTATGGGAGAATGTGGATGACACAGTCTATTTCAGATTTGGCGAGCGGTCATCGTGGAATTCATAGACATCAGCAATTTTACTACCGGTAGTACTGAATCGCAGCAGGTACAGCTCTGCGGCCGCTGACCTAGAGGCCCACTGTTATGTTGCTCTGTCGTCGTAGAGTTGTGAGCATGACGCCGGTCGCAAGGATCGCTGTTTGGTGAGTGCCACTGAGTGGTGCGCTAAGGGCCTTTTTATTTGCCCTGCCATCGTTCGTTCGATTCCCCCTCCACTCGCTCCTTCTCTCACATCGCATTAAACCGTAGGACTTCTCTGGAATCTGGATGCATATCTTCCCAAAATGCGTTTTAAAGGTTTTTGTGTTCATGTGATGTTAGTGCGTTGTTCTCAGTTTCCTTTCCTCGTGTAGAAAATTGATGGAAAACAGGATGGACTTACGCGATTGGGCTTTTGCATGTGACATGTGCGGCATTGTGCGCGACTAATAGACTCACAGCCGTTCCGATACAGAGACACGTAGCTCGTGCCTGAAATCCTATGGACAGACAGGGTCGAAGACGGCGCGGAGATGGGTTAGATGTACATGATCGGTAAATATATTGACTGATTGGTTGATTGATTGATTGATTGATCGATTGATTGACTGGTTGGTTGAATGGATTGATTTGTTGAAAGGGTGTCTGCTGTCGTGCCATTCAGATGATTTAGAACGTCAAATATATTCGGACAAAAGGAATTGCTTTACGTGCATCTCGTCCGCTCTGAATGAGTCTCCCTCACTTCTTTCATTTTATTAGCTCTTTACATATCTTCCGATTACTCAGAATTTCCTTTACAAGTCTAGTAATTTATCTCTCGCTTACGTCTACGAAGCTGAAGCTTGGGATCGTAACATATCTTCGGGGGACAATCCGCGTTCCTGAAAACCTGGGTTGCCTGTTTTCCTTGAGGCGGTGAGCTGAGATTTATGTCACTGAGTGCCGATACACGCAGCATGGATAGAGAATAACGGGACTCACAAGGGGGTGCGCGCGCGCGCGAGAGAGAGAGAGAGAGAGAAAGAGAGAGAGAGAG